TCATTGTTAAGGAACTACTTATAATTCCAATTTCAGAGCAGCAAGGAACTGTAGAGGTCATAGAGTTCAGTCATTCCCTTTGACCTGTGAAGAAATTGAGGCCTTAACGTGAAGTGCTTTGTTTCAGTTTATACAGCTGACCTCTAGCAGAGGTGGGAGTAGAACCAGACCCTCACTCTAGACCAGGTGCTATTTTCATGTAGGGTATGGTTCCCCCTTTCCTTTTGCTTATTTCTGGCACCCTTTCTTTGGGCTCTCTAGAACGTAAAATTATCAGATGTAAAATTATAAGCCATAAAGTTCCAAGAAGCCCTGTTTAATCTGAGTTTTATTGTTTAGCAGACAGCAGCAGATACTAACCCTGGCTGCCTCAAACGATAGCCCATATCTTATTGATGGAAATTCTCTAATTCAGTTCCTAGGATCCTCATCCTTTCCAGCTGGTTATTAATTATCAGGCAATATCCTCTTGAGCTGTCTCTACTTCTTAATTACCTTATTAATTGTATTCATATAGATTGATCTCTCTGACATTCTAAGTCTGACTCACTGAGGAAATAAGTCTAATAGTCACAAGAGACTCTGACAACCTCACAACCTTAACTTATTATTTCTATTATGCAGACATATCACTAGAAGCCAGAAGAGACTGCTTTGCTGAACGGGCCTTTAGCCTAATCATAATTAGAACGTCCTTTAACAATTCTCTCGTGCACACCTTTCTTGCTTACTCAGATACACATGAGTCTTACCGGTTCATTTCCACCCTGCCTGCACTCTTTAATCTTTAACATAGAAGGAATTTCCTCCCTCATATTACCTTGTGGTAATCCTTTATTTGCAATTCAAGGCAATTATAGGAGAGTAAGCATGAATATATTTTAGTTCTTGGGTTTTTACTGTAACACTGCACCCTAAGGGCCTGATGCCCAATTAAACATTTAAAAACAATTTTTAAGTCAAGTTTTTATATACAAAGATAGTTTCTTAAGTGTGTGCTATTAGAGAACTCATTTTTTCCCTTCCTGATATGGTACACTACTGTTAACCCCACATTTTTGCCCAGGTGCCACTTAACTTTTATGAAAGGACAAGAGTAAACAGGTCTTTATGTAAAAGTTGGTCCTTGTTCCATACAATCCTTTGGGTATTTGTATTAGAAATGGTTGATTGGCAGGAGTTAGAACTGAAGACTAGAATCTCTATGAAAAAAATATATGAAAAGGAGTTAGAGAATTCCTATGCATGTTTATTTGCATTTGGGGGAAAGTCATCTCCAAACTCTTAGAAAGAAGGGAATAATATAAATTCTAAATGCCAGTATTTTTCATGGTGAGAAAAATGAGTCACCTGAATGCCACCAATGGGCAGATTTTATTTTGGCCAGGGATTCAAGGATCCAATTTGATGATCTACGTGACTGAGTCTCTTCATGTGTCTGCGCACCCTCAGAACGTTCACCAGAGGTTCTACAGATACCACTATCTCAAACTACTCCCTACTGAACCCCTCATCTTTTCACTGCCTTGCCCATTCACTCATCCAAACCAAACCCAGAACTTGGATGTCCTCTTCCTGATTCTTCCCCTCTCCCGATCACCTGCCAAACCCCTTCTTCTAATTAGTCATTTAGTTCAGTTCTGTTGATTTGGCTTCCTTATTACTTCTCCTCCGTGACTGGTTCCATCTAGTGCTGCTGCCCCAGCTCAGCTCCTTGTCCTATCTTTCCCAATCTATTGCAATAATCTCTCTTCTAACTTCAGTGGCACCTCATCTCCCATTGGATGACTTACTTACAAGGCTTTCCATGACCAGCCTCACTAGTCTTCTATCTCTACTGCCTTTTCTCTCATCCAACACTTCAGCCATGTTGAACTAATCACATGTCTCCAAACCTCCCATGTGATTTTATATCCCATCTCTTTAAATGTTCTCTTCCTCTTTTCTTGGAGTGTCATTCTCACAAAATTTTATCTGTCAAACTCCTACTTATACTTTAAGACCCAGTCCAAGCATCTTTTTCTGGAAAGCCAGACTGGGACCCCAAACAAAGTTGGTCATTCTTTTCTTTGTGCCCCCGCTTTAATTTGTACATACTTATTAGCTGTATTGCAATCGTTTGTGTGCCTGTATTTACTTTTAGAATGTAAGTTCCTCAGAGGCAGGAAGTATGCCTTTTCTTTTCTTTTTTCATCTTCAACTTCTAGTGCATTATGTAGCACACAATAGATTCCCAGTGAATATAACTTGACTGAATGAAAGAGTATGATCTCTTGAGATTCCTTCAGGTTCCACTCATATTATTCATGATTTTATACTTATTTTTGGTTTCAACATTGATTCAAATGCTAGGGGCCAATTTGTTGCCCAACTGTTGTTTTTTTTTGTTTGTTTGCTTACAAGGCTGCTCTTTCTCTGGAACAGTTGAGGATGGGGTGGAGGAGAAGCAGTCATCTTGTGCAGTGAAAATGGTAGAGTGTACCCTCTGTTGCAATGTAGCCTCTGTATAATGGGCAATGGGCTGGCTTTGGAATAAAACTGACCTCAGTTTAAATTTCAGTTTTGCCCCTTATTCCATGTGTGACTTTCGACAAGGTTAATTGACTTCTCTGAGCTTCAAATTTGTGATCTGTGAGATGATAATGATAATAACACCTGCTTTCCAAATTTGTTTTGAAGGTGAAATGAGGTAATACATGTATAGCACTTATAATAGTCCTTGGCATGTAATAAATTCTCAATAAATGACATTTGTCATCATTATCATCACCTTTATTGTAAAGTCTCTATAGAACATAGGCAGGGGGAAGTGTGGTACTTCCTTCTGGTTGCCAAGGGACTCCTTCCTCAAAGATAAGTGCACTACCAGGATCTTCATCAAAACCATAGAGTACAGAGATAGTTGAGAAACGGTTTTCTCAGTTCTCCTAAGAATGGTAGCTGACTAGTGCCATTCTTTGTATAGGGGAGATGTTAGTTAATTCATTATGTACAAAGGGTACCTTTAGGTGTTAATCCTCTCCCTTTGATAAAGGCATGTGATGCCCACACAGTGGCCTAAACTCGGTGGGAAATTGGGCTGGGAATGTATTTTTACAATCAGTAATGAAGTTTTCAAGACACTTAAGAATATCTTGTGTTAGCCAAAATAAAAGATAAAGTCTTCTTTATATACATTCTTTTAACTGTTTTGTGCCTGTAAGGTAGAGGAAACAATTTTGTAGTAAAAAATCATTGGACTAGAAGTTGAAAGACCAGTTCAATGATTTACTCTGGGAATAACTTAGGGTGGTTACTTACATAGGCACTGAGAGCTTCCATATCTCTATAGTGAGGTTAAGACCCATCCTGTTTATCTCACCGATTCTTGAGAGTTTGAAATCACATCATGTATTTGAAAGTGTTTTATAATTTATAATAACTGATATACAAATCCTAGTTATTTTGATGATCATTCTGCTTTACTGCCATCCTGCTTCCTTCACCAGATGATACTAATCAGCCCAGATGTCTCACAGCAATAGAGCTGGTTCAAAAATGAGGAAGTGAGTGGCTTTAGTTAAAATTGCCCAACTTTTGTCTCTCCTTTTTCTGTCTTCTGTTCTTGTGCTGTGGGGCTTCCCTTGGTCTTTTCATTGACTATTGAAGATTTATTCCTGTGATCCCAGTTACTATTTCTAACCGCTTTTCTGAAAAATGTTAAAAGCTCAAAGCATCTGTCGGTTCTACCAAGCTACCAGATCACAGGGAATACCCCAGAAGGCCCAGCTGATTCTTCTAAACGTGCTGAATGGAGTTATCTTTTCATTTGTTTTTGCAGGTTGGAAACATAAGTGAATTTAGCTATTATTTCCTTTTTTGGATGTGAGCTAGCTGCTTTACAAAACTGAGTATTTACTACTAACCCATTGCTGGGACAAAAGTTACATCAATGGGACAAAAGTTACATCACCTCCAACAGTGTTTCAAACCCTCTGACTTAAGACTAAAATTAGGTCTTAGCTACTCCTAGAAAAAATCTGGCCCCTTATTTCAGCCAAACTGTTCTATACTCACTAACTTCCAAACATGCCATTTCCTGCTTCTTTATTTTTGTTTGTCTTGGCTCTCCACTTGGTACCCCCTACATTTCCTCTCCCACCATGGAAAAGTGAAACTAAACAAGAAGCCATCAATTAAAGCTCTGCCTCATCAATGTTTCTTGACTCCTCCAGCTCCCATTTGTATTTCTCTTTCCCCCATACTATTCATTGGTCCTATTATACATTTTAGAAATTATTGCTAAAAGTCCTATCTATATCTCATTTGGTAACTTTAAAAATAATTTTATGGGGCTTCCCTGGTGGCGCAGTGGTTGAGAGTCCACCTGCCGATGCAGGGGACACAGGTTCGTGCCCCGGTCCGGGAAGATCCCACGTGCCGTGGAACGGCTGGGCCCGTGAGCCATGGCCACTGAGCCTGTGCGTCCGGAGCCTGTGCTCCGCAACGGGAGAGGCCACAACAGTGAGACACCCGCTTACTGCAAAATAATAATAATAATAATAATAATTTTATAAGTTCTTTTTCTCCAACCTGCATGGCAAGAGTCATTATCTTAAATTTTCTTTCTTGGTACAGAATTCTAGCTGGACTTGTAATTATTATACAAGTTTATTATCATTACTACTTACCATATACTATTATTATTATTAATACCTGTAGATTCACTGATAATAACTGAGGATCTAGTGGAGAGTATATATTTGCATATGCATATGCATATACATATACATATGTGGGGCTGCAATTGGCTTCACTACTGCGTTAGGGGGAGAAATGCTCAGAAAACAATGTTACAATGTGTGTGTTTTTAAATTGGTGAAGGTTGTGAATTTAAAAATTGTGTGCATGTCAGCATATTATCTGTTTTAATATTTTGACGCAACCACAAAGCTCACTCTTTAATATTAGAGAGTTCAACTTATTATGGAACTGAAGCTGTCCCTTTCTGGATCCCTCAGGAAAAAGCTGAACAAACAGATGGAACTTCCTTGGAATGTCAACCAACAAGAGCCCTGCTCCTGCTGACAGAGGTTGTAAATTTTACTGACGACCTCTCTAGAATGTCATCTCCACTGCCCAGTTTCCCTGGGAAGCTGCAGCTAGAAATAACAAAGCCAAAGTCTATCTTTGTTGTCTTTCTTTAGGAGGCCCAATAACCCGTAACACTAGCACCATAAGTTGAGCACTACTCTTCATGCTCCTAAAATTTTCTCCTCCTAACATAGTTTCAGTGGTTACTGTCATGATCTAACCATTTCAGCTACATTAATCTAAACAAAGCTTCTGCACAGCAATGAAAACCATCAACAAAATGAAAAGGCAACCTACAGAATGGAAGAAAATATTTGCAAATTATATATCTGATAAGGAGTTAATATCTAAAATATGTACATAAGGTGTGTAAATATACAAAGAACTCATACAACTCAGTAACAACAACAACAAAAAAACCCCAACACTCCAATTAAAAAAAACTTATGGATATAAGTGGGCAGAAAAACTGAACAGTTTTTCAAAAAAGACATACAAGTGATTAACAGGTAAATGAAAAGGTGGTCAACATCACTAATCATTAGGAAAATAAAAATCAAGACCACAGTGAGATATTACCTCACACCTGTTAGAATGGCTATTATAAAAAAGACAAGAGGGCTTCCCTGGTTGCACAGTGGTTGAGAGTCCACCTGCTGATGCAGGGGACATGGGTTCGTGCCCTGGTCCGGGAAGATCCCACATGCTGCGGAGCGGCTGGGCCCATGAGCCATGGCCACTGAGCCTGTGCATCCGGAGCCTGTACTCCGCAATGGGAGAAGCCACAACAGTGAGAGGCCCGCGTACAGCAAAAAAATAAATAAATAAAAATAAAAAGACAAGAGATAACAAGTGTTGGTAAGGATGAGGAGAAAAGAGAATCTTTGTGCACTGTTGGTGGGAATGTAAACTGCTGCAGCCACTATGGAAAACAGTATGGAGGTTCCTCAAAAAATTAAAAATGATCCAGCAATTCCACTTCTGGGTGTTTATCTGAAGAAAATGAAAGCACTGTCTTGAAAAGATATCTGCATCTCTGTGTTCATGGCAGCACTATTTACAATAGCCAAGACATGGAAACAGCCTAAGTTTCCATCAAGGGATGAATGGATAAAGAAGATGTGGTGTATATGTACAATGGAATATTACTCAGCCATGAAAAGCAGAAAATCCTGCCATTTGCAAGAGCAATGAATGGACCTTGAGGACATTACGCTAAGTGAAATAAAGCAGAGAAAGACAAATACTGTATGATCTCACTTATATGCAGAATCTAAAATATCAGACTTATAGATACAGCAAGTAGATCGATTGTTGTCAGAGGCAGGGAGAGGCGGTTGAGGGAAGTGGATGAAGGTGGTCAAAAGGTACAAACTTCCAGCTGTAAGATGAAGAAGTTCTGGAGACATAGTGTTCAACATGGTGACTCTACTTAACAGTAATGTGTTGTATATTTGAAAGTTGCTAAGAGAGTAGATCTTAAAAGTTATCATCACAAGAAAAAATTATAACTATGTAAGGTGATGGATGTTTTTATTGTGGTAATCATTTCATAATATATATGTATGTAAACTCATTATGTTGTACGCCTTAAACTTATACAATGCTATGTGTCAGTTATATCTCAATAAAACTGGGGAAAAAAAGAGGTAGCCAATGATTTAAATTTGTTGTTTGAAAAATGATCTTTTATTTTTTTTAATTTTAAATTTTTATTTTTTTGTCTCGAATTATTTTATTTTCTTGCTGTTAGTAAAATATCAGTTCATGATACATTAATTGAGCACCTACTAAATGCAAGATGTTTCATTGAAAGAACATTAGATTTGAAGTCAAAGACAAAACCCTTAAAGCTGCCACATTAATTTTGTTTTCTTGAGAAAATCTATTCATATTGTTTGTTTCCTCATGTATATAATGTACATAGTTTTAATTCTTAACCCTGTTATCAACATCATTGAAAATAATGTGTATCAAAACACTAGTAAAACATAAATTGTTAGTTATGTTGCTAGCTTATTCAAGGTAAATTCAAGTTACAAGCATGGCATACTGGGACCTCTATTATCTAATACTAAAAAATGTCTTAAACACCATCGTTACCCAAATTCCCATCTCTATCTGTTACTCTAGTTATAACAAAATGCTTTCAGTAGCTTCAATATACTTACATTTTGTTTTATTTTTTTATTCTAATTAATTTTTTTATTGGAGTATAGTTGATTTACAATGCTGTGTTAGTTTCTGCTGTACAGCAAAGTAAGTCAGTTATACATACACATATATCCACTCTTTTTTATACTCTGTTCCCATATAGGTCATCACAGAGTATTGAATAGAGTCCCCTGTGATATTCAGTAGGTTCTTATTAGGGAAAATGATCTTTTAAATTGGTAAATTCTCTAAGAAAAACCTGGGAACTTTGAGTTGCAGAATAATTTAAATAAAAATTTTATAAAGCTAATCAAATCAGAGTTTCCCTTGGGTTTGACCTTCCTTAGTCTCACACCCCTGGATGAGATTCACTAGAGAGGAACTACTAGACTCGATCCTTGTGAGAGGCTGAGCAGCCCAGCTGAATGCTTCTTCCATCCATTTCCTAAACTCATAGGAAACTTTAAACTTTAACATTTAAACTCTAGTAGCTGTCAAACTTCCTTGGCATAAAATAGCCTTATGCCATTCAATTAATATTGAAAAGTATTAATTCTAGAAAAATTAATAATATAAGAAGATTAGAAATAACCTAAATATACAGCAGTTGGGAATTGGTTAAATTATGGTGTATCCAGACTGTTGAATACTGTGATTATCTGCACAAAGGATTATTTTTTTAAAAATAGAACAATTTCAGAGATGATGGTGATAATTCAGAAGGCTTTCTTTGTTAGCAAATAACTCCTGAGGTGTTAGCTATTCCCCACTCATGGAAGAATTTCTCCCTTCCTTTAAGATTAATCCCAAGAAATCCTGCAAGTGTTTATAATCCAACAACCTGTGCTTTGTACACAATAGGCTCTGCAAGGAGATTTGTTAAATTGAATACTGTGAGACATGTTAACTCTGTTTCTGGGTTGGCTTAAGAGATATCTTGGAATTTGAACATTTCTTTCTTTTTAAAACATTGTTATGATCATTAAGAATGGACCAACTTGATTTCACAGTGAATTAACCATCTCTTGTCTTTTTCTCCAAAGTCTTAATTATTTCTGCCAGTGAAGGGTGAGTCAGGAACACCTTGTTAACGCCAAATTGGCTAGAATATCCTGCTTTGGAGGTATTCTGTATACTAGGTTGAATCATATGACATTGCCAGTATTTGACCAGCTTTTATTTTCAAAGATAGTAGTTTATATGGTTTAACCTAAGACATCTTTTCTCCCTATGTCTGGTAAGAGATAGCCTAGCCTTCAGAGGTGGACACAAACGAGACACTTCTGCTGGCCTCCTCCCTGTCTCATCTCTGTGCCAACAAGGAAGTGGAGGGGAGGGATAATGCCAGATTGTCTCTCCACTTAGCTTATTAAGTACAGGGTGAATGTGGTGGTGTCTCCAAGGGGCTTCACTTTTTAGACAAATGTGCCAGTTTGGGGTTTTTAATTACTATATCTTTTTGATAGCTCATTATTTTATTATTGCTTCTTCTCACCTCTGTCCTCCCCAATTCCCATTCAGATTATTGGCCTCTGTATTTTTAGAAGGTGATCTAAAGTATGTTTGTAAGAAGCCTCTAGCCATCAGCATATGGCTTCAGTCATTCTGAAGCTTCGTTTGATAGTGTCATGAAGGATTTTCCTTTCAGGCAAAGCTAATGGAAATAATACATGATAGGAATTGTGCAAATCTAGTTTCTGAATGTCCAAAACTTCTTTTATGAATTAATGACGTAAAACATAGTACACTTTGTATTCTGCACACAGGATTCCCTTCTTTCGAGGAGATAGCCCGTTATTTATGGGTATGTGGACCCTGGAGTGACTTTGGCAAAAGGTGAACAACCCATAGGTGCTCAGCATTGGTAGCAGAATAAGGAAAACAATAAATTCTGTGCCTGTCTTCTGTCACTCTGATCCATGCCTGTTTACTGCTTCCTCTGATTCTCTGCCTATTGCAGTAATAAAATACAAGATCAGGAAGTGACCATAAAAGTCATCTAGGACAATAGTTGTTAACAACAGTTTTTATCCAGATAAAAATTATGGATTCTCTACCCAGAAAAGTGAAATTATATATTCACTCCAATGTTGCGCTTACATAATCTATGAACTCCAGGCTAAGAACCCATGACTTAGGAGTCCTACCACTGTATTTACATGTCGGAAAACTGAGCACCAGGCAGATGCAGTGACTTTCCCCAGAATAGAAGACTTTCAGTCATAAATTGGAGAGAGACTCGAACTCAGTTCTACTTTCTCCACTTCTCGTTCTCTTTCTTTGACTGTCAGGTTATATGTCTAATTCTCCTTCCCTTCCTTACACGCAGAACCTCATAAAAGCAAACTGTAGGAGGAGGTAGGAAAATTTGACAGAAGGGGGGTTTTGTGGGATCTCCCACTTCTAAACCAGGAAGATACAGGCAGAGACTACGCCAAAAGCATTAATGAACTTGGTCAATTTGTTGAAAAAATTTCAGTTCTTTTAGCCAAAGTATCAAATCATTCATGTTTTTATTTTTCAACTGGATCAATCAACTTGTGCTCTATTGTTGCTTATTCTCCTTATTTCTATATATTCACCAGCACTAAAATGGTTCTAACTCTTCTTGCTTTTATTTATCTTCTTCTGAAAGAAACTAGCTGAAACAAAGGTCAGAGTTTAAGGAAATTACTTCATTGACAACATTCAATATTTACTACATTTCAACTTTGTTCTGGCACTGAACCAAGTTACTATCTCCACCTGGTGGGTATGTTGACAGAAATGTCACTGATTTGGAAGGCTTTTCAATGCAGAGGTTACTATGGATTAAATCCTCATCTAACTGGTTTTGCTTTTACATCCTTAAATGATGAAAAGATGACAAGGAAAGATGGGGGTATAACCATTCATGAGCCAACGTTTGTCTTATATCACATGTGAAAATTAATGTGACCTTCCTATTTGGCATTCAACATATCATTGGAAGAAGATGGAACAGTTACTCCTCATACTTTGCTATTTCTTTTGAAGGAGGCCTTTGTTTGGAACCAGAAGCCCTTCATGGCTCTCCTATCACTGGCTCTGTAAGTGATTTGGGATAATGGAGGCCCCAGAGTCCCCCTTCTGTAATATGGGAAAATAAAATGTTCCTATCTGGAAAGTTTAAACAAGAGATCAATGAAGAGCCCCCCACAAACAAACAAATCAAAACAAAAACAAACCTCCAGGGTATCCACACAGAGTAGGAGAATTCATGCCATTTATTATAATATGCTGCTTCAAACCTTGCGTTTCTCTGTCACTCTTACAGAGAGACACAGCTGACTGCAGCTAATGTTCCTTCTTGTTTGGGAATATCCTGGGCAGTGTTTCCCAGATTTGGGGCTGTTGTATAACACCTCCATTATTTTTGTCAGGATA